CTTCTTGTCCTGCCTTCTGGCGCTTTGGAGAATAGCTTGACTCCCTCTTCTTTGGGGCAGCCCCTGAGATACTGGAACATTGCTATCATGTTCCCCCCTCGTTCTTCTCTTCATTAAACTAGACATACCCAATTCCAGCAGCCGTTCCTTAATATGCTTTAGCCTCCAGTCCCCTAATCATCTTTGTTGCACCAAGTGAAGTGTTGTTAATTTGAGACAACCCTGTATCAGGATTTAAGAATGAAAAGAGAAGAAGCACGGGTGATAGCATCTTTGCCAGCCTGTACTCCCTTCCGCTCTTCAATTGTGTGGATTCACCGAGGTACCAATCCGAGCATTGTCCTGCTTTGGGTGGCTTTGAGTAGTCATTTCTCTACCCTGCACAGTTCTTGCGTTCAGTAGTTAAAAAAAAAAAAAAAAAAAAAAAAAGGGAGGGGAGGAGGAATGGGGCAAGTTGGGGAATTTAGTAGTGGCAGAATCTTAAATCACCTTGAGAGAAATCAGCCTTGCACCTTTGTCCCCCCCCCAACCAAAAGTAAGTTCGTTATTTAGGCGTGGGATTACCATCTGTTATTTTGAAACAGGGGAAAAACTAAAGAAGATGAAAGTCAATTAAGACTTGGCTGAGAGCATGAGGAAAGCCTACATCATGCTCCAATTCTCTTTGCCATCTGGCAGCCATGAGAAGTTGGCAAGGGACCATCTATTGATCTTGAGCAGAGCAACAGCTCTTGATCGCGTTCGTTTCTCAACCCTGGCTCATCCTGTGAGCTATTGGATAGCCCCACTTAGACCCGAGCATAGAAGCCGCAGTCCAAGGAATTGCATGATTTCCTGATGGTCCAAGAAATCTATCTAGCTTGCATAATGCATATCTAGCTCACACCGAATTAAAGTATTTGATGGGAAAGAATACAGGAGATCTTCATTTCAATCCTGAACCCTTGTTAGAGGCATTAAACAGACAAGGTCTGAAGTGCTTAGGTGCCGTTGCAATGCTGGATACGGGAGCCAATGATCCAGCTCAGTGATCACACACTTGGCTGAATCATACTATGGATTATGACTTAACACAAATCCAGGCTTATCATAGAATTGGAAGAGATCTATGAGGTCAACAAGTCCAAGCCCCTGCACACTTTGAGATTTACTGCACTAATCTCTAGTAGATCACTATCCGGCTTCTGTTTGAAGACCTCCAGTGAAGTTGAAGCCTATCTATGCCGTAACCTGTTTGACTTGATCGTTCTTCAAGATGTTCTTCCTAATCTTTATAAAGGATAATCTTTATTCTTTATCCCATTAATCTGAAGACTCATCCTCTGGAACAAATCCAAACCTTATACAACATGACAGTCCTTGAGATACTTGAAGACAGCTAACAGCCTTCCTCTCAACTTTCTTTTCTTCAAGCTAAACTTACAGGTGTTTGAACGTTCACCTTCTCTGAATTCTGGCTCCCTCTGAGCCACAAACATGGTGGGAAATTACAGCCATACAATAATCTAGAATTCAGTCACTTTGAATAGACAGTTAACCAGTTCTGAGGAGTTATTCAGGATTTGTACCTGGTTAGAGTTCGGAATTTTCCTATTTTCTTGCTGTGACATTTTTGAAGAGCAAAGGCTACATTCCTTGTAGTTTCATTTATGGCTTTCTTTTCTGCATTTCCTGGGTTTCTGTTCAGATAAATCCAAGGTGGTTTAGGCCACCAAATCTACAAATCAGGATGAGCATCAGATGACAGCAGATACTCAAAGCTCCATATTTATTTCTGCAGCCCCATCTGGTAGCCCTAATCAAACTATGCTGTAATTTCTCTGCCATTGAGCCCTGACACACAGTGGTTTGCAAAATAGGGTTTAGTACATGGATGTGCAATTTGTTCTGGACTGGGGACCTATCCAGGCTTGGATTAGTCCACTAGAAGTACATTCTAAATAATAATTGGGTCAGAAAAACAATTGAAAGATAGATATGGTTACCATCCAGCTATACATTTAATGCATTTCTTCTATCACAGACAGGTGAGTTAGATGGCAGCACCTGACAATCCTGTCTAGTCTCAAAAAACCATCAGAGTTGAACCTATGAATGTAGACTAGACTGGAAAGATTAAAGAAATCCAGAAAACAATAGCTGTTTTTAATCTCATGATAAATTACAATTTGGCAGTAATGTTTGAAGATCTCAGGAGGCTGCACACAAGGACTGAGGAGCCATAAAAGGCCAGGATGGGATGTTATCCATCGCTGGAATAATGTCTTGGTGCATCTCCAACCAATGCTGGTTTATCCAATAAGCCATAGTTCATCCAATTAAATTTTAATGCAATGTGCAAACCAAGCCAGTTTCCCTCATTCGCTGAGCTCAGATGGGTTTCCACTCTGGCCGTTGGATGAAAGACAGAAAGAATATTGTGTACTTGATGTTCAGACTTAATGGGTGACAAAGCACATTCTCATCTTTGTATATCCTCTCAAGCAGGCTTCCCAGCTCCATTTGAAAGAAATCTGAACCAAGGAAGCTAGGAAGATCACCAGGTGCTCCAGCTGTGGACTCAAAATGGTAAATGCTGCCTTCTTGGACAGGCCCTGCACTGAGCATCTGAAATGGGAAGATTGCCAGTTATAAAACATCTGTTCAAAGAAAGGCAAGGGAGCTGGAGAGAGGAGAAAGGATGATGCTTAAGCTTGAATAACGTCTATGATTCATTTTATGTTGTAGCAACTGTGGCTGGAATGGGTTAACCATTTGAAACTCTGCATTATTATTTTTTTCTTCTGAATTCCTGGTATGCTTTTTACAGAAAGACAGGAGAGAATCCATCCATTTGGAATTTACTAGACCTCTTTTCTATTTGGCTTAATAAACGAGTCTTCAATTTGTTTCGGCAAATGTTCACTGGAGATCAGGGGCATACCTATCGTATCTCTGCCACTAGGGGGCAACAGCTAGTTAACTTTGCCCCCCCCCCCTCTCCTCTGGAAAACAAAGCAGGTTGGTTTTTGAACGAGAGACCAAGAGGAAATCTCAGACAGATAAGATACACATGGAAATTAAAAAAAGAAAGTCCTAAAGTGAGTGGCAAACCATCACCATACTATTGCCAAAAGAAAACTATGCAGACATATTTATATAGGCTTCAGCAGCCCAGATCAACTCAAGGGAGTTTTTACCCCCCTTTCTCATAAGAGAATTAGAATAGAATGGAATAGAACAGAGTAGAGTAGAGTAGAGTAGAGAATAGAATAGAGCTGGAAGGGATCTTGTAGGTCATCTAGTAGTCCAACCCCCACCCAAGCAGGAGACTCTATACCATTTCTGACAGATGGCAGTCCAGTCTCTTCTTGAAAGCTTCCAGGGGATGAATAGCTGATAGCTGCTAATTTGGAAAGCTAAGGTGAGCTGAACATAGCTAGCACTTGAACGACAGAATGCCAGAAAATCTCAGAGCAGTACGTTAGATTGGGAGGTGAAAAAACTACTACAGGTAATCCCCGACTCCGTTGTGAGCCCCAAATTTTCATTACTAAATAATGCAGTTAAATGGTCCCATTTTATGACATTTTCTTGCCGCAGTTGTTAAGCAAATTGCTGCAATTGTTACCCGACTCATGCAGTCCTTAAGTGAATCCGGCTTCCTCCATTGACTTTGCTTGTCAGAAACCCGACTGGGAAGGTTACCAATGCAGATCCTATGACCTTGTGCAACGGTCATAAATACATGCACCCGAATTTGATCACATGACCATGGGGATGCTGTAACGGCCATAAGAGTGAAAACCGGTCACAAGTCATCTTTTGCAGTGCCTTTGAAACTTTGGACAGTCACTGAACAAATGGTTGTAAGTCAAGGACCACCTGTTTTGCGGAGGATGACAGCGACAGCCATTTGGCTCAGAAAACCTGCAGGACGTGTCCGTGCAGTCACCAGGAGCTGATCAAGGAAACCTCATATTTTGACACCCTAAAACAGGGGCCTTTAAACTTGGCCACTTTAAGACTTGTGGACTTCAACACCCAGAATCCCCCAGTCCATAAGTCTTAAAGCAGCCAAGTTTGAGGACCCCTGCCCTAAAAATTTCACCTACCAAGAAAGGAAGGAAGCCATTTTTGATCCCAGAAAGGATGGAAAAGCTCAGAGAACCCAGCAGATGCCTTTGCAGGGGCCTCGTCTTCACAATTGGAACTCACCCCCATCCCCGAGCGTGTATTTCGACCCCTAAAAAAATCCCACCTGCCAAAAAGGGGGGGGAGACACTTTTGATCCCAGAAAGGATGGAAAAGCTCAAAGAGACCCAGTTAGATGGTAGTGCATTTCCAGGGGCTTCGTTTGCACAACTGGAAAACCGGGCCCCGCGTGTATCTTGGAGAGCAGTTATCCACAGATTATCCCAACACAGAGACACAGCATCGTGAGAAGAGTCCGCGGGACCAACGCCCATCCGACCCCCTTCTGGAGGGAGAAGCCCCGAGCTTCCCCGCTTCCTTCTGCAAACGGGGTTCCTTCCCGCGTCTCCTCCCGACAACCTCCATTCCCACGAGCTGCTCTCCCCCCCCCCAACCCTCCCTCCGCCTGCCTAGCGGTTCCCTCAGCCGGCGGAGACTGGCAGGCAGGCAAGCAGGCAGGCAAGCAGGCAGGCCGGCCGGCCGGGAGAGGGGATCCCCTCACTCTCTCTCTTCCCCCCGCCCCCATTCCCCGCAACCAACTGGTCGTCAGAAGGCAGCCGAGGAATCCCCGGGTCGCCCTCGCCGCCAAGTTGCCCGGGGGTTTCCCCGCCGAGCCTAGACCTTGAAGGACGGGCGCTCCCCCTCCCTGGAAGCAGAAGGGGAGACGGGGGGGGGGAAACCCCTCAGCGCCCCTGAGGGACGCCGAGCCCAGGCGGCGAAGGGAGGGGCGGCCGCGCGCGCGCGCGCGCAAAAAAGACCCCCCACGCAGTTCAGAGAGCGGCCACGCCCGACGGTGAGGCGGAGCTGAGGGGGACGGCGTGGTGGGCGGGGGGGGAGCGGGTTGGCGAGCAGAAGGGCGGCCGTGGGGGAAGGGCGCCAGCTGGTCCAGAAGCCCGCGATGCTCCCGCCTTCCTCGTCGCCCTCCTCCTCCCTCAGGGCCAGGCCGCTCGTCCAGGTGTGGCCGCTGACGCCCTCCCGCCGGAGCTGATGCTCCCCTCGGGCGAGGCGGCAGCCCTGAGGCAGGGGGAGCGCCGCTTCCCTCTCTCCCCCGGCCCCGCCCTGCCGCCGGGGACCCCCCGCCGCCCCGGCGGAGGGAGGAGGAGGGCTCGGACCATGGCCTGGGGCTCCCCCCCGCGGCCGCTCCTCCTCGTCCTCCTCCCCCCCCTCCGCGCCTTCCCGCTCTCGCTCACCCCGAAGGAGCCGGGCAGCAGCGGCAGAAGCGGGCCGAGCCGGCGAGGGGCAAGATGGGCGTGAAGTCCCGCAAGGCGGCGGCAGCGGCAGCAGCAGCAGCAGCACAGACCGCCGACCGCCCGGCGGCCCCCGGCGGGGACCTGGAAGGCAAGCCGGCCGGAGGGGAGCTGGCCTCGGCCGGGGACCTGGAGCAAGGCACGCTGGCTCTGGGCGCCGCCGGGGCGGACCGGGACGGGGCCCTGCTGCTGGAAGGGGCGGGCAGGGAAGGCGGCGGGAGGCGCTCGGCGCCCGCCATCGGCTTGCTGGCCAAGACCCCGCTGAGCCGGCCGGTCAAGAGGAACAACGTCAAGTACCGGCGGATCCAGACGTTGATCTACGACGCGCTGGAGCGGCCGCGGGGCTGGGCGCTGCTCTACCACGCCTTCGTGTGAGTGCCCGGGGCGGCCGCGGGGGTCGGGCGGGAAGAGGGCGGCCGGGAGTCGGGATCCTACCTGCCAAGCACCTGCCTGACCTGAACCCGAGACCTGGGGCCGGTCCGCGGAGGGCGGCGTGGGCAGCCTGGCTGGTGTACGGGCTGTTCTCACGTTCCGGGGGGGGGGATAAACCCGAGTTGGTTGGTACCCGGCGTCCGATGGGGAGCTGCGCTTTATCCTGACCCTTGCATGATTATAACCATCCTTCAAGAGAAGCTCCATCACATACCCAGGTGCACATCTGCATTCAGACATGCTTCGGACTGACAAGTGCATTCTCTCTCTCTCTCTCTCTCCCCCCCACCCCATCTCTTCTGATTAAGGCTGTGTTTACACCCCATCTACTGTAAAACGTGGTTGACCACACTATGGGCTCCATTGGTCTTCTGAAGATTACAGTCCTCCTTCAAGAAAAGTCCCATCACATACTCTGGTGCACATCTGCATTCAGACATGCTTTGGGCTGACAAGTGCATCTATCTATCTATCTATCTATCTATCTATCTATCTATCTATCTATCTATCTATCTATCTATCTATCTATCTATCTATCTATCTATCATCTATCAATCTATCTCTATCTGTCTATCTATCTATCTATCTATCTATCTATCTATCTATCTATCTATCTATCTATCTATCTATCTATCTATCTATCTATCTATCTATCTCTTTCTCTCCCCTCCCCTCTTCTGATGAAGGCTGTGTTTACACCCTTCTACTGTAATGGTTGACCATGCTATGGGCTCCATTTGTCTTCTGAAGACTACAATCTTCCTTCAAGAAAAGTCCCATCATATACCCTGGTGCACATCTGCATTCAGACATGCTTCGGACTGACAAGTGCATTCTCTCTCTCTCTCTTTCTCTCCCCCCCATCTCTTCTGATTAAGATTGTGTTTACACCCCGCTACTGTAAAACATGGTTGACCACACTATGGGCTCCATTGGTCTTCTGAAGACTACAATTCTCCTTCAAGAAAAGTCCTATCACATACCCTGGTGCACATCTGCATTCAGACATGCTTTGGGCTGACAAATGCATTTTCTCTCTCTGTCTCTCTCTTCCTTTTCTCTTCCCTCCCATCCTGTCTCTTCTGAGTAAGGCTGTATTTACACCCCTCTATGTTAAAACGTGGTTGACCATCCTATGGGCTCCATTTGTCTTGTGAAAGCTATTAATTTCCTTAATTGGTGGTTCAGTATTTAGGTATTGGGTTAGTTCAGGAAACCATGATGTCCTTATTGAGCATTTAGGCTGTTCTCAGAACAGAGTCTGGCTATGGTGAAGATTGTATGCTCTGAAATACATATGGCAGAAACACACCAAACCCTGGATTTTGGCAAAGATTCCTGGAATCTAAACTTGGAATAAGCATTCTACATATTTGGAAGCACCCCCCCTTATTCTATACAAATTGCAGATCATTACGCTGTATCCCAATGGATGAAATGCTAGTTCAAGATGTCTAAGAAATTGCTTTTTTTCCCTTACCCAAATAATAGATTGCTGCCTTTGGCAACGGAAGCACATGGTTTTTATTTGCTTCTCAAAAGCAGAGTGCTTGAGAAAAGACCGGGTGTGAGATGCAAAGGTTATGATAATGCCCTGCTATTGTGGTTGCATGGCAATGAGCATGTTTTTGTGAAAGTCTGAAGCACATAAGGTAATGTGAGGGATTTGCCATAGAAACCGGGGGCGTTCAATATATCAGTGTTGCATTATCACTCCGGATTGAGCCCCTGGACAACTTGTCAACAACAACAACAAAAAAAATACACTGGGAATTTCCTAAGGAGCCAAGCCATATTGCTATGAATGAAAAATAACAACAATAATAATTGCTTTTCATCATTTAAATCCAAAACAATTCCTTCTTTTTTCCTCAGTACCTAACTATGAAGGTACAAATGGGTGTAAATGTTATCTTGTCAGGCTCCAGAGGCAAATTTTATCTGGTTCCAGAGTCGAAAGATAATTGAAAAAGGTACCTATTATGTTTATATTAAAGAAAATGCCATCCACGGAAATCTACATAGTGTATATGTAAATTCACAGGCAAAACATGAGATTTCATTTGTGGCCAAACAGCTGGGGGAAGAAGCTGTTCTGTTTGCAGTTTATCTTGTGTAGGGATGCTGCTATTGTGTATGGAGGCTGTCTGTACTTCTCATGGATAATTAGTAATTATTTAAGTTGGGGTCCAGCTCTGAGAACTCAATATTGTATTAAAGATTCCTGCACCTTTTATACTTTTGAATGGGCACAGTGTAGATTTTGGAGAAAGGAAGGCTGAAACCAAGCTAAGCCACTGTTTTTCAACCTTTGGCAATAGAGATTCTTCAGGGCTATAACTTTCTTCATCCCCGTAATGTACAGTATACAAAGATGAAAACCGTTTTGATCCAGCAGTGCCTGGAAATTCATGTCTTCAATTGTGTATTTCGTTATTCCACGGTTGTTTGGTTTTTTAATGTGCGTGATAATTTTATATCAAGAAAGTGATGTGTCACCAAGGCGAGATATAAGGATTAGCAGATTAGAATTTGTTTTTGTGGGAGCAATTTATCCCAACCTGGAGTCCACGATCATGTGGCTTGCAGTTTTGGAAAATTGTAGTTCCAGCATGACCAGAGAACTTAGTTCTTGGGAGATTGGTTGGGTTCAGACATTGTGCTAAGGCAGGGGTCTTCAAACTTGGCCCTTTCATGACTTGTGGACTTCAACTCCCAGAATTCCTCAGCCAACGTGCCTGGCTGAGGAATTCTGGGAGTTGAAGTCCACAAGTCATAAAAGGGCCACGTTTGAAGACTCCTGTGCTAAGGCAAGACTTGTTTTAATTGAGAAGCATGGCATTGAGTGGCTTCTGTAGTAACACTGGGGTACCATGATAGAGACAATCGAGAGAAGCAGAAAGACCAAGAAGACGGTTGGTTATCTCAAGTTTTTAAAAAATAGTAAAAAAACTATAGCTCTGCTGTGTTTGTCCTATTGAAAAGAATGATTGTTTGATCATGACTATAAATAGTCAAGATTTATTATTCTGAAATGACATACAAATTGCACAAATTGTAGCAATTGATGTGTGATCCTCTATATAGCAGGGTCTCCAACCTTGGCCATTTTAGGACTCGTGGACTTCAACTCCCAGAATTCCTCAGCCAGCCATGGAATTCTGGGAGCTGCAGTCTCAATAGTTATGTATTTTATTTGTAAGATTTATATTTCTTCAAGAGATATAAGGTAGTTATCATATCTAGGTTTCATACATAGCACCCCCTCTTCTCACTCTTGCACAGAACAATTTCAGGGGATAAATAGAATAGAATAGAATAGAATAGAATAGAATAGAATAGAATAGAATAGAGCTGGAAGGGATCTTGGAGTCTTCTAGTCCAGCCCCCTGCTCAAGCAGGAGAACCTACACTGTCTCAGACAGGTGATTGTCTAGTCTCCTCTTAAAAATCTCCAGTGATGGAGTGCCCATGATTTCTGGGCATAAGCTATGCCACTGGTTGATTGTCTTCACTATCAGGAAGCTTCTCCTTAGTTCCAGGTTGCTGAGAGTGACCGAGAGAGTTGGGTTGGCCGATATTCGGTCTGTGAATTCAAGAACAGAAGATGGAATTGACACTTTGGTCTTCCCAGTTCTTGACCAATGCATAACTACTATATCATCGTGGCTCTCATTTGTGGGAGGCTAGATTGAAGATCCTGATATTCTAGACCAGGATCAGAAAGTCAATGTATTATTAGTGGAAAGATTATAGTATTGAACATTGTTTTCTCACATAATTTGAATATGTGAAACTCAGTTTAATAGGTCATTAACCTAAGCTTGGATTGTTACTTGAGCTGCACTGGGTTTCAGTGCTGGTTCTCCACTTGGCTGTGACCACTTGCAAAAGAAACAGCGGCCCCAGTAGGATATAGGAGATAGCAATAGCACTTAGACGTATATATCGCTTCACATTGCTTTACAGCCCTCTCTAAGCAGTTTACAGAGTCAGCATATTGGCCCCAACAGTTTGGGTCCTCATTTTACTGACCTCGGAAGGGTGGAAGGCTGGAAGGCTGAGTCAATTTTCCTTTAGAGAGCTGCAGTCCAAACTGTTGAGAGCCCTAGAACACAATGGCTAAATGACCTTACTTCAAAAGACAATTGATTAGATCCATCCAGTAAATGTATGAATACTACATCCGAACCAGAACTTACCATAAAAGCATCCATATCAGAAATATTGCTCCATAAAACGTCCAAAAGCTTAGTAATACGCAAAGTGGATCAATGAATAGGTAATCCAGAAGACAGATCCTCTTCATTCTTCTTTGTTAAACCTTCCCTGACCTTGTGTCCCCTCATTATCCTACCATAGTATGATCACGTTGACTAAGAATCCTAGCTTGTGTAATGCATATGGAGGGCACCAAGTAGGGGCACGTAATCAGGAGATATTAGGATCTTCTTGATATTTATGACAGCTGATGGACCTTCTCTAGACCAGGAGCTAAGTAGGATCAGCCTGGGTTAGTATTGGGGTGAGTGACCTACAAAGTATTAGCCAGGTGGTAGCCTATGTTGGAACTTGAAAAAAATTCCTGGAAGATGACTTCCTTGTTTTATGCCAAGGATACTACATTTATGTGTCCATGAAGTCACCAGAAGTCTACCTCAACTTGGAGAAGACTTTACCTTTCATGACAGTGAAGATGTCTTGTCTTGCTTGCCAGCATCAAACAACGATGCTGGCAGGCAAGACAAGACTAGATTTTTTTCCCCCACTTTTCTTTACACAGCTTTATTCACACTGGCAATTTAAGTGAGAAGACATCTTTGCAAGATAGTTTGCATTTCTAATAAAAAGCTAAAGGTAACTAAAGGTTGTGCTGCAAGTGAATTTAAGCATGAAACAGTCTTAATGGCTTGTTTTGGAAATCTTTGTTTTATGATTG